TTCACTAAGAAAAGATACAGAAATCTTTTTTTTTCAAAATGATGTTTCATCATTTCATCAGTGTTTAGTAAGTGGTTTGATCCAAACATTTTTCAACACCTCCTTGTATATATTTTTAGTTTAAAACTTTTCAGAGAAGCAGATTCCTGATGTATATACTAGTAAAGAAAATAAAATTTAAGAAAATAATTGAAAATATCTAAATTAGTATCAGGACTTAAAACTCTAACAGAAATTTAATTTAAAAAAAAAAAAAAAAATACAAAAATTTAGAATTCAATTTGTCAGCTTTTAAAAAGAAAGTATTTAATAACTGAAACAAATATAGGTAGAAAACCGATTTCTCCAACACCTGCAGTTCAAAAGTCTTCTTGGATGATAAATTTCACTAAAACAATAGAATTCAAGAAAATACAAAATCTACATCAAACTCTTTGCCTACCATTCCATCATCACTAATCATATTTGCAATTTTTTGTCAAATCAATATAGAGAGCAAGTTTTGAGTGAAAAGACAATAGGAAAACTATACTTAGTTTAGCATAAGTGTTTCATCATTCAACAGACTTTATCATTTGATAAAGTCCTTCGAATGACAAAACACATTTCCTTTTGTTTTTATTAATTTTGTCTCTTTTACAGATATACTCCATCAGAGAATATTTAAACAGCAACTTTTACATTACTAAAAACATTTTATATTTCTTAGACTTAATTGTCACTTTTTTCATTTTTTTAAATAAATAATTTCTTTATTCCTATTTAGCAAATATGATTAGAAAATATTTTCTTTTTGCTGCACCTTTTTACATTAGCTCCTATATATGTTTTATTTTGACTTAGCTGGTTTTCGCTGAAATGAATGAAATAAGAGGTTATAGTGGTTCCATCTCTCAGAAGAGACAGATATTCTGTGCATGTCCATGGTTAATGAGTTATCAATGCAGGGTTAGAATTAAAGGTAAGAAAAATAGGCTGGAAATTTTCACAGTGAAGATGCAATCCAAACTAAACTTTAAGTGTTTTCTTCAAATTTTGTTTGATCTAAAATTTTCAAGCACATCAATTTCAGGAAGATCAATTAGTGCCAGCATCTTTGATCAGGCAGGATGGCTGCAGGTGAAGCTGATTGATTTTGTGAATAGAAATCTTTTTTTTTTTTATTAATTAACTCATGACAATATTAAAAGAAATTAGTGAAACTCAAAGGAATTTCTTTTTGATCAAATTTCAAGAAAAAGAAATGCAAAAGACTTAACCCTTTCCAGACTGAATGAATATGACCAATTTTGAGATAAGTCAAATTTAATTCAATTTGTGAGCAGAGATTTGTATAAATTAACACCTGTTTAGATTAGATTAGATATGCATCAGTCTTGGGAGATTATTACATTATAGTCTGGTGGATATCCCAAGCACAGCATCTACTGCTGCTTCTCAACTCTCTACTGCGAGGAGAATTGGTTTAATTTAGTTTGTTTTGTTTTACAGCATATCAATCTCAATGTGTTATTTAATACCAACAAGATTTTCATTGCTGGTAATATTTCATTTTTTCCAAAAATAAATTGCTGCTATTAAAATCTATTTTTACACTTTCATAGTGTTTTAACCCCAGTTTGAGTCTCCACTATTTGCCCATAGTTGGGACCCTAACAGGTGCTACCACCCTGGTTCAAGGTGGACCTGGGAAAAATAGCAATTAAGAGGTTCCAGGCTCCTCAAAAAGTCCAGATCAGAGGCCTTGGTGGTGGATGTTGCATATCATCATACTCTGGACGCCTCATTGGGAGGGGTTCTTACCACTCTGCACAGGTGAAGTCAGCTTATTCTGAAGTTTCAGCTAACAGGGCAATCTACTGCTAGGAGAATTGGTTTGCTGTGTTGTGCCAGAAGATTTTTATGGTCAGAATCTATCTTGCACATTTATAAATCTACCATTCATCCATACATTGAATGCTCTTGCCATATCTCCACCTGTTGTATATCTTGAGATTCTTGACAAAAATCAGAGTAATCGATCCTGACCTGATATCTCAACTTCAGTCACTTTCTTACCAACATGACATGGCTTCCCTCTGTCTTTTCTACACATATTTTCATGGCAATTGTTATGATGAGTTTCTTTCCCTAGAGCTTGAATTACATGAATTTAAATGTGCTACTAGATTGCCAATGAGGTCTCACTATTTTACTGACCTAACCACCACTTCTACTCTCACTTTTCTTGTACTTCTCACCCATGGAACTCCCTTCTGATTCCTTGCTCTCTGCTATCTACAATCTTTAAAAATTTAAATGAGATGTCAATCTGTCTTCCTGAACCCTGTTATTTATTGTCCTTTCTGTATTTCTCATTAAAGTCTTCTCATTCTCTAGCAATCACTTTAACTCCTTTCATCTTAGTGGCATTATCTCCTTGCTTGGGGTGAAATGATTAGAAAAAAAAAAAACAAGGCCCAGATGGTGCCCAACTGAACCTACTATACTGTGTAGTTGACAAAATCAAAAACAAACAATGCACATGCATAAAATTAAAAATATAAAATGGTGACAATATACCCATCGCCCCTTGTATAACCAAGCAGGTATACATCAAATCCAGTATGAGTTTGTACACGTACACACAAGATGTGTATTTATTTCCAATCTAAACAAGCTTATTCATATTAAATATTTCCTCAAATAATCCAATAAAAAATATGCCAACCATTGAAAAGCAAAAGATTTTATAAAATGGTGACAATTTACTCATCGCATCCTGTAGATATGAAACAAGTATTTGTTGTCTGAGATTCCAGCATTTTGTTTCAATACAGACATGTTAAATTCATTAACTGCTAACTTTAAAACAACTGTATGGTTGTCTGCAAGTTGAAGAGACCAAAAAGTGAGCTACAGATTAGAAACATCAGGGTCAAGCAGGTGCAGAAGCTTTACTCTCTGGGTCGTGCTGCAACAAACAACAGAAAATGTGAGATCCAAAGGCTCATTGGAATAAGATGCCTTCCAGAGGCTAAACAAAGATAGGAAAATTTTATTAGAAACAAAACTAAACTGCTATTTAATATATCTCCTCCAATATGGCAGTGAATGCTGGACAATTTCCTCACAAATAAAGATGCGAAGTGAATTCAATGTTGTTCTATAATAAACACTGAGAATACTATGGATAGAGCATGCAAGCAACATGGACATTTTAAAGAAAATAAAAATAAAAATGACACTTGTACCTAAAATGAGGAAAGAAATTTCTGGGATGCATAATGAGGAAAGAAGGCTTAGAGAATTTAACACTTACAGGACATGAGGAGCAGAAAGAGACAACAAATAATCTACCAAATGTTTATAAAAGATAGCAAGAGGACACATTCTACAAAGGATAGGAAGCTGTGCAGAGCCATGATCACTATCATCTTGAGAGGAAGTGACAGATAAAAGAAGACCGACTTGGAGAGTGAAACCAAACTGAAGTATAAACATTCACTAACTCCTCTTTATTGACAAAGAAAAAAAGAATACGTGAGACTTAAAATATATTTTTAAAAATGAAAAATCTTTCACAAAGCTTTTGTTTTAGTTTTAATTTCAAGCTAATAGATTAAATTGAATATTTCTAATAAGCAAAATACTTTGTTATATTTCAAATCAAATTTAAATTGATTGAATTTATTTTTTTCAAGAGGAAATCATTCACATTGCTAACAATCAGCCATGTTAGCGAATCTGTCACCATAATATAATTCTCTTTGTTAAAAAATCTTTCAAAAATATAACTTTCTGAAACTTTATTTGAAGAAGATTATCTGATTCAAAGTTTAATTAATTAATTTAAAATATTGCAGAAAAGTATTTTTAACACAAAGGTGTTGACAACTATCTCACTAGACTTATGTCTGAGAAACTTTTCTACAGAGGATATATCTGTAAATTTACTAGACGAATATAATGTGAGGGCCTTCTTTATATGATTTTTCTTAAGTATCCAGTAATCTTAAAAATAAAGAGGCATGGTGGAGTAATTGATAGCGGCTCGGATTAAGGAATCGGAGAGCCAAGCTTGAATTCCAGTCAAATCCATTAGATTCACTTACATGCTAATACCCTTAGAAAAGGTATGAATCTTCTTCTTCTCCCCATAGCTATGGGTAACTAGCAGGACAGATTGGGTTCTATAGTCTTGGATGGCAACTGCAGAAAGAAATGGTGACCTACTGTGGGAAAAAAAATATCTACCTCGTCAGTCATGTATCAAAAGATTGCCTATGCATGTATCACACATGGCACATAACTGACTGACTGAATCTTAAAAATTTTAAAAATATTCTATGTAATCTAATATTTTATTAAATTTTAGGTAATATTACTTCATAGTTTTACGCTTGTTAAGAAAATGTTAGAAAATTATCAATAGATTATTTTCTGATAATATTTTATATGTTTAAATAGACACTAAAAAAATTCAAAATTATTTTTAAAATATTAATAATATCACCTAACCGCTACAAAAAGACAAATTTTTTTTATTGCCTAATAATTAATCAAGTCTTTGTGAAATTCTGATAACTCCAATGTGTTATAACAAAATGCTCCAAGAGAATCCATGTAAGTGTACTGGTAAATCGGAAAAGAAGTTTCAAACTGCTTCTATTTTGTAAAAGAGGAGGAGGGTTGTTGAGTGAGGGTGACCAAGGCACATCTGCGTCAATGAATGAAGATAACGTCTTTCTTGAAATAGGTATCTAATTATATATTTAAGCTAAGATTGTTTCTTTAAGTGAATTGCTTTGGTGGGATTAAAATACAATTAAATAAAGAAAAAAATGCATGAATGAATAGAGGCATGCTACGAGGCGGGGGGGGGAAAGAATCTCTAAAGAAATAATGAATAAAACAAATTCAATTGTTTGGTTTGGACTTGTATTCATTGAAAGCTAATTGGGTCGCAAGAAAAGAATAGAAGAGGAGAAAAAGAAGATAGAAAAAGAGAGGAAGAAAAATCAAGGAAGGAAGCAGGAAGTAGAAATAAAGGCAAGTGACAAATGAGACATGGGAAGAAGGCAGAGGCAGAAAGATGTAGTAGGAAGGAGGAGAAAAAGAAGACGTACAAAAAGGGAGAAAGAAAAAGTCACACAAGAGAATATAAGACAGGAAGGAAGGTAAGGTAATAAATAGAAAGAGGGATTAAGGGGGGAAGAAAGAGGATGAAGAGGTAAATAGAAGAGGGAGTAAGGAGGGTGAGGAGGTATATAATAAAGAGAGGAAGGAAAATAAAGCAAATAAGGGAGAAAGGGAGGAATATAAGGAGGCATATAAGAGAGGAAGGAAAAAGGCAGAGGTTCAAATAAGAGAAAGAACAAGAAAGAAGAGGAGGCAAATAAGATAAGGAGCAAGGAGGAGGAGGCAAATAAGAAAGGAAGGCAGGAGGAAGTAAATAGGGGTGGAAGGAGAAGGAGGTAAATAAAAAAGAGTGGAAGAAAGAGCAAGAAGCGAATAAGGAAGTGAGGATTAATCATTTTGTCTTTTATGGCTCATCAACCCATTACTTATGTTATTTAAAAGCAAAACATATTTTCGACTGTAAGAGGGCGTTTACAGTACACAGTATTCCAAGTAGTTCCCCTTTAAGTATTGACCAAGCTCAATGTTGCTTAACATTGGTGATCAAATGAGAACCAGTGTTTTCAGTATGATTTGACAAGAGAGAAAGGAAGGAGGATGAGAAGGCAAATAAAAAAAGAATGAGGAGGGGGCAAATAAGAGAAGAAGGTAGAGGAAGAAGAAAATGAGAGAGGGAGGAAGGAAGAGGAGAAAGCAAATAAAAGAAAAAGAAGCAAATAAGAGAGGAAGGAAGAGGAAAAAGCAAATGGAAGAGGAAGGAGGAGGAAAAAACAAATAAGTGAGGAAGGAAGACATGGAAGCAAATGAGAGAGGAAGGAAGAGGAAGAAACAAATGAGAGAGGAAGGAAGCGGAAGAAGCAAATGAGAGAGGAAGGAAGAGGAAGAAGCAAATGAGAGAGGGAGGAAGAGGAAGTAGCAAATACGAGAGGAAGGATGAAGAGAAAGCAAATAAGAGAGAGAGGAAGAAAGAAAAAGCAAATAAGAGGAGGACGAAGAGGAGGAAGCAAATAAAAGAGGAAGGAGGAAGAAGAAGCAAATAAGAGGGGAAGGAAGGAAGACAAGGCAGCGAATAAGAGAGAAAGGAAGAGGAAGACACAAATAGAAGAGGAAGAAGGAAGTAAGAGGAAGAAGCAAATAAGAGAGGAAGTAAGAGGAAGAAGCAAATAAGAGAGGGAGAAAGGAAGAGGAAGAAGCAAGTAACTGTTGAGGAAATAAGAATACCAACATGGAAGAAGTTAGGAACAAATGAAGGAGAAAAAAAAAAAAAAAAAAAAAAAAAAAAAATCAAAATCAATGTTTAAGGAAGGAAGGAAGGAAAAAAAAACAATGTTTCCCAAAACTGGAAGAAACAAAGACAAAAAAAAAAACACAAAAGAGTAAAATACTGCAGGTGGGATGGAAGAAAACATTGGTGAAATGCAGCCTGCAAATAATGTTTTTGAAAAAGCTACATACAAAAGAGATAAAGTAATTAATTCTTTAAAGTTTATAAGTGAAATGTATGAAGGAGAGAGAAAGATAACACCCACTTCACCTTCATCAGAGTAAAATGCACAAAAAGAAAACTTCATCATTAAAACCAATAACCTTATTTAAAATTTAAAAGGAAACACTTTAAGTTCCTCATAAAATAATCTGGTTGACAAAAGTACATGACATACATTCTAATGATCAGTTATCTCCCTTGAATTGTAAACAAATGACACTAAAAAGATACATGAAAATCTCCATTTTGTCATTAATGAAATTCAAGTCAGCAGAAATTTTGTCTGGAGCCATGACACAACAATAAAAGCAATAATCATAGCCTAAATGAGTTGAGCATTAAAAGAATGTGAATTGATACTGAACTGACCGTGTGTTAGCATTAAATACACAACTTTGCTTCTTTCCAGTTTTGAGACTGAATAAAATTTTCATAGACAAAGATTAAAATCTCGTTAATGGGAAAAACAGATGTTTGAAAGAACAAATTAAGAGAAATGTAAGCTTATGCTAAAAAGTGACGGCAAAATGTTTACAAGGCCAAGTGGATTAAAGCATTGGTTTGTGAATTTGGCAGTATACAAGGAAAAGAGCACTAAACTATTATGGGATATCTGTTCTCCTGTATGACAGCAAGTACTGGACAATCTCCACAAAGATGAAGGAGAGACTTGAAGTAAAAGAAATGTAATTCTACAGAAGCATACTGAGGATACTACAGACCAAAATGTGGGCAAAAAGAAAAGGAAACTTATCTTAACACCATGAAGAGACAGTTGAGGTTTCTAAGGCACATAATGAGGAGGGAGGGCTTGGAGAATCTGATACTCAAAAGACAGGCTTACAGCAAGAGAGACAAAGGAAAACAGCGCATAGGAATACTTAGTGAGATTGAGTAAATGGATGATGGAACAGGGTTTAGGAGAAATCTTTTAGTTGCATTGTTAGCATGTTTTGGATCATTGTATCATTGAAATGCTCAATTGGATATTATTTGTAAAGCCTTGAATGATGTAAGAAGGTTCTTTTCAATTTACCTTCATACATGACTCCATTAACTCTTCTTTCAATTATGTCATCCTATACCATGTGATGAAGAATAGCCACAGAATTATATTATCCAATGATGTTCTTAGGCTTCATTTCTTTATCCTCTAAACTTGACAAAATAAGCTGAAGCCAAATAGTTAACTCGGTCTCATCGAGGTGAAGAATATTGTTCTGTCCATAATATTGAGAAAATTAATTTTCTGAGTACTAAGGTTAGCACAGTGGAGTAATGGATAGCATCTCAGATTGAGGAATCAGAGAACTGAGTTCAAATTCCAGTCGAGTCCATTACATTCACTTACATGTTAATACCATTGGGAAAGGTATGAATCTTCTTCTTCTCCCCCCAGCTATGTGTAAATAGCAAGACAGACCGGGTTCTGTAATCTTGGATCGCAACTGGTCTACTGCAGAAAGAAATGGCAACCTACTGCCGGGTCATATATCAGAAAAAAATCTGCCATAACTCAGTCATGTAAATGACAAAAGATACTATGATCACACTTCTCACTTGTGGAATTCTCTTCTGGTTTCTTGCTTTCCAGTTAACTTTGATCTTCAAAAATATCAATTGTTATCTTCTATTTTCTTAATTCCACTTCTTTTACAGTTCTCTCTTTTTAATAATGTTTTCTTTTTCTTATATTCTATCATGCTCTTTGCATCTTAGTGACTTTATTTCCTTGCTTGGGATGAAATGATTACAAAAGGTATATGACTTACATCAATGTTTCTTAGGAACCTTCAGTTGCACTTTCATGTGTGATTTCTTCAAATTCAGTACTTTTTGCAGTCTACAATTCTGGTAGAATGTGTTGCTGATTGTATAAATATTGTCCCTCGTGGGAAGAAATTTTCTACTGACTCTTTTAAAGTAATCCTTAGTAGTTTTTATTACCATTCTTACAATTCTATTAGCAATGGCACCAAATCAAAGACAATTCATTGTTGCCAATTTTCTTACACTTGTAAACTATGAAATCAACAGCATACAAATTAATTTATAGTTCATTACCAATGGCTCTTTAACATTTACCTTTATAATAAAGACAACATGAAAACTGTAGACGTCAACACAAAGTTCTGGGAGAGCCTGATAGCTATACAATCCAAATGGAGAGAAACCCTGACCAAACACCTTAAGTCAGGGGAGGAGAAACTGACACAAGTCGCCACAGAAAGGTGGGCCCATAGAAAGCAAGGTGACAGCTCCAACAGACCAGAGACAGAACACACAAGTGACTTCTGCAATAAAGATTGTCACTCACACACCAGCCTCTACAGTCACAAACGCCAATGATCCAACCAAGCAGACAACTTGGATGCTACTCATTGTTAACCCTGACTGACAGGGGCCTATGACAACAGTCTCTCTAACATTTGCAGAATGTTCTTTAGTTTCTGCGATTATAGTTGCTACTGCAATGATGGTTAGCAGTCAATTGATATAGTAGAACACCATCTCAATAATGTTTACTACTGCATAAAATATTGTAGAATCATCTACAGCTGTTTAGATAGAACCAACCATTTAGAAATTTACATTCTCTATTGGTATTAGTTTACTTCTTTTATGAATTGGTACTGAATAAATTTTGGCGCCATCGTTTTGAAATATATCTTGTATATAAGTGTATTTCTTGATATTTTTGCTTATATTTACTATTTGAAAGATGATACTGAGATGTGGTGGGATTTAGAGGCAAATACTTACTATATATAAATATATATATATATATATATATATATATATATATATTTACTATATATAAATAATGGCATTTCTTATGGTGTATACTCAATATTGATGGGAAATGGCATTTTTTTAAATTGAAAACTTATTTTATCTTAACATATTTGTATGTGTGTATGTGTATACACTACAGTTCAAAAGTTTGAGACCACTCCTGGCAATTTTTTAAATTGACTCAAAAAGTAGTTGTTTTGTACTTTAAATTATTATACATGGTTAAAAAAAATGGGTGACTTGTTTACTGCAGCACACATTTTTGGCATTCATCACAAAATTTTCTCAAAGTATAAGTTTGATAATTGATTCCATTCTTTTTTCAATGATTCTCGGAGCTTTTTTTTCATTTTTTTTTTTTTTTTTCACTCTTCTGTCAAGTTCATCCCATGCTAATTTTTGGGGCAGCTTCAAACTTTTGAACTGTAGTATATATATATATATATATATATATATATATATATTATTCAGTTTAATAACCTTTCATTAAGTCTTTTTTTCTTGCTTTCTCACAAGTTTCTTTATATTCTAAGTTACTGAAAAAAGACTCCAGTCCTTGTTTTTTTGCCAACCACTTTTGTTTGTCATCAACCATCATCATGGCTGTATTTTTTGGTTTGAATTAGGTTACTGTTTTATTTTTATTTATTATTCATAATATATTTGGGTATTCAGGCAATATTGTTGGATTAGTTCATTAGCAATATATTTCTTACATTATTTAAATTATTCAGACTCTTAACCTCATCTTCATTGCCATATTCACAACATTTTGGTCATTGTACACTCCAGCCTTCTTCAGGTGATTGAAATTTCAAGCCAAACCCTTTATTTCAGCCACTGGGGTAGATTGTTCTAGTTCCACTTGCCATGCCATATCTCAGTTATTTCCCTTTAATTCAATTTAATTAAGTTTTTTTGTTCACCACTGCTGTATCCTGGTATTGAACTCACAACTCTTTGGGTCTAGTCACTCGATCTAACCAACATCTTTATCCACCAGGCCATGAACACATACAGTTTCAAATACCGAATTTACTAACACCTGAAACAAGTTGGGAAATGAATAACCGGCTTGCAACAATAGTAAATTCCGCTGTGTCTAGATGCACA